TATTCATCAGCAAGCAAACTGCAATTCAAAAAGCCACTTATACTCATGCTTTACCACAATGTTGCAACTGGGCACTTAGTGCTGGTGATATTTTTTATGTTAAACTAGTATCCTCTGATAGTGAATTTATGCCAAACATTAAATTTAAGCTTTATGGATATAAAAATTGCATGTGATTCAGTTTTTTGGACAAGATTCATTGCCAACTTTTTATTGTTTTCCTTTCTTCTGCCCACAAAAAACAAATTTTAGTAACCAGCTTGTTGTTTGCTTGCCTGTATTGACCTTTTATGCTTCACTCTGAGCTCTGTCTGCTCAAAGAGCTTACACTCCAGCCAAATGGTTTCCAGTATAATCCTGACTGGTCGGCAACTTGGCCTCCTTTCAGCATCTTGTCCAAGTATTAACTGGGATGAAATGAGCCATTCGAGCTGCATAATGTCCCAGTAGTAAGTATTGCTGCCTTGTAGCTCTGGGGCCCTGGGTTCAATTCTGGACCTGGAGTGCTATCTGTGTGGAGTTTGTATGTTCTCCCCATGACTGCATGGGTTTTCTCTGGGTACTCCAGTTTCCTCACACAGTCCAAAGATAAACCGGTAGGTTAAATGGCTTCTGGGTAAACTGGCCCCAGGTGTGAGTGCAAGGTTGGCGTGCCTGCCCTGCATCGGACTGGTGTACCCCCCTTGTGCCTTTTGCCTGCCAGGACAGACTCCGGTTTCCCTGCATCCCTAAATTGGAAGATGCGGTTGGATGGAAATTAGTCATTCAGGGAAACTGCACCATCCTGTCTTTCTTTACCTGAGTTGGTAAAGAAAGACTCACAGCTGTAATTGCTGCCAAACATGCTTCTACCCAGTATTGACTGGGGAGGTGAATCATGATGAAATCAGCGTATTTTTGTTTTGACTTTGTCTTTGCAGCTTTTGTTAACTATAACTTTTGTTATAGTCTATCATCCATAAAGTTTCAGTTTGTGCATTCATGGTTTAATTAGTTTTTAGTTTTTTTAAATATATGTATATTCATTATTTGTGACAACAAAACAGGACATTATTGGAGGAGGGCTGGAATATTGGAATATTTTTGCAAGGTGCTGTATTTCTCCATTGCTGTGCAGTAGTCTGTAGTCTTGAGTCTGTGATTTTTTTATTTATTAGCCTAGAAAATGAGTCATTTACTAGCTTTTTAATGATGTCAGCAAGCTGCTACTTTTCAGTGTCTGTCTTTGGGAAGAACTGACTTAAGGATAGCCTTATTTACTAATGAAGAAAAAGAAAGGTACACTCTTACTTAGCTTCATGTTTACTCCTACTGGCAATACGTGAAAATGATAGTAACTGTGTATGTGAATGTAAGCAATATAAAAGCATGCACAACACATTGAAAACCTTGTAAAATTAAGTATCGGTTACTAATTGTATAAATCACTCCGTTCCAGCATGTCAGACATATGATATTGAGTTTTAAACAAAAGTTCAATACCCAAATCTCGCCCACTTCCAACCGCCTACAGTACGTTTAAATATCACACTTGACTGGCTCCTTTTGTGGACCACCTTAGCCAAGCGAGTTACCCCAGTAAAACTCCCTGTTTGAACCACGTCTCTTTTCTAATTAGTGTCTAGCTGAACTACTGAACTAACTAGTGCTTGCAATGATGTTAAATGGATTTCCACAACACATACTACATATGCACCTGCAGAAACAAAACTCTGCCTTCCTGATGGCATGAACCATGCTCTGGGGTTGTGAAGAGCATCGCCTGCTAACTGGATGAATGGAGGAAGGAAAGCAGTCACCATGCGTTCTATGACAGGCACTGACAGGCACAGACACAAAACAATGGCACACACATACTTGGAAACAGTGCATTAAAGCTGTGTGTGTGTAGTTGTCTATTGTGCAGCTGTTAGTGGCCAGTACCCTGCGCTGCCACCTTCATCACGCTACCATCACGTTTTTTCCACCCAGTGGTTATGAGTTTGGTTTCCTGGCAGCAGGCCGGTCTCATAGGCCTCATGGCCTGCACCGTGATTTGTAATGCCGGCTGACATGATGCCCCTTCAGGTGTGTTTGCATTTTGACATGCCTCATTTACCACCTCCATCCATGCAGTATGCAAACCATGCATATCAGTCCTGTCTGTGCTGCTGTGCCCAAGTTTTGTTCACTTTTCTAATCGAATCTGTACACTGGTCAAAAAGAAAGGGATGCTGCAAGATTTAAAGAAATTTAATGTTACAGAAAATTGCTTCTGAATAATATTCAGTGTGTTTCTTTTACTAGTGTACCACCATTACTCATGAATGGCTTCTGTTTTAACAAAATAAGAGTTTGCATAGTAACAAAAAGAAAAGGGAAGTTACCTACAGTACCTAGAAACGTGGACAGTACAGTAAAGTCTTAATTTTAAAGCAGGTGAATGAAAACTGGTAATGCAGCTTAAATTTGTGTGAGAATGTCTTTCATTCCATTTTCAAACTGGGTCATGGGGGATCTGGAGCCCAACCATGCAAGCAACAGGTCCAAAGCAGGAAACATCCTAGATGGGATGCCACTCCATTGCAGGGCACACACAGATAGAGGTGCGTACACACAGACTTTTAAAGGAGCCAATTAACCTACAAGTATGTGTTTGGACTATGGGAGGAAACCGGAGCACCCATATGAACCTGGGCGAACATGCAAACTCCATTCAGATAGCACCCCAGGAGCTGAACTCAGGGCCCAAGTGCTGCCACTGCGGTCCCATGATGCCCATTACTTAAGAACAGTGTGGGATAAAGTGCAAGCATGTATATGAAGGATATCTCCTCAAAGCTCTTGAGAAGCAAATTTAAAAAGCCAAGTCCTAGTGATATGTGCTTATTGAAGAAGTTGAGAAGGAGCTAGAAGAGATTCTGGCTGACACATATTTGGGTCAGAATGGTATTTGCTTTCACCTAGAGTTTCTGCAGAACGGCAAAATCTTATTATTTAGTTGAGGGAACAGCTTGAGGTCTGTAAGAGGTGCATAATCACACAGAATAGGCACGGAATTCAAGCTATTGACACTAAAATAGTCATATATGAACTGCTGCCAAAAAAAGCCAAACAAAATTTCCCTGTGCTCAACCCTGGCTCTGTACATTGGGTTTGAACAGAAATCCAAGGTTTCTACACTTGCTTAAATATCTAGCCACAAGTCACCCAGGTTGGTGCTTCACCTAAGTGCAGACATTGTTACATTTAATAGATGAAATGGGTGTTCAAAAAAAAATTATTACTGAAAAGGTATGATATATTGTGTAGTGAATGATAGTGGTGATACAAAATGATACGAAACAAAAAATGCAGGGACTGGGAGAAAGGCGTGAAAAAATGAGAAAGAAAAGAGTACCTTAAGCCTAAATAAATTCCTTTTCTTGTTTGTGAAGACCTGGTATCTTTGAGCTTGTTCCCTAGGAAAAAAAAGATAGAGTAGCTTTCTTTTTTTTTTGTTTGTTTTATCTGCAGAAGGTGGGTGTAGTGTTTGTTTAAACTAAGCTACCTGTTATTCCTGTTCTGTTAGTCGCAAGATTTGTTAAAGAAGGGAAATAAATACTGTATGTTTACTGTTTTCTGTCCTACTCTAAAGAATTTCTTGACTCACCAAAATATAATCTTTAGCATTTTTTAAATCTGTGGGTGGTCTTAAGAATGATACAATAGATTTTGTTTTATGTATTTTTTGTTTTCAAATATTTTTATTAGTACCAGCCTAATACACCTAATACACAAATTAATTAGTTATGACAATGTGAATGCTTAGTTTTCACTGTGAATAGATTGTTTCTTTGTAATTTCAGAACTAAGTGCATGTCTCTTACTGTGTTAACATTCAGAAATAATGCCTGTTACATGGTAGAAAAATAACTCTTTGTCATGTTTTGACAACTGTAAAAAATGGTGTAAAAAAGTTGGTTTCTGTTGCTATAATAAATGTATTTATAATTTACAAATAATGGAAGAAAGTGAACTGAGCAGCAGCATTTTTCGGGTTTCATGCTAGACATAGCCAGCTTTCATTGATATCATCTTTCGACATTTTCACCAACCTGATCCTTCAGTAACAGTTTATTTCAGGAATCACCTGTAGACCACATTTTTGTGCTTCACAAATGACAGACTAACATGTTGCAAATGATTGGAAGCCTCCATCTGAAGCCTGGTAAATATTAATCATTGATAGTGATAAATAATACATACCCTATATGGAGTTAAAAAAAATAGGAAGAGATCAGCCTCAAATCTCACCCACTCATGCTTCTTGTTGACTCACACACGCATTATGTTTTCATATCCCCTCCTCCACCTGATCTTCACCTTCTCTGCAGCTCCCTGGCTCATTCTTCATTAGAGGGGAGGAGGGGGGTCTGACAGTCCTGTCTTTATGAATGGGTTGTCATTCTCCTTACCCTGGTGTGTTATAAATAAAGCTCTCTGTAGAAATAATACTTATTCTCTGCTGTAGAGTTTGACTGGACTAAAGAGATGTGTGTTAGAATCATTCATACCCCAAAACCCCTGAAACCTCCTCTAAATATGAAGTCATCTAGTCTTTAACGTGCATTTCTTATAAAGTAACCAACAGTCCTTCAAATTAAACTCTGTTTCCTTGAGCATTGTACAGTTGTACTTCGGTTGCTATTTATTGCCCTTTTCACATATTTGGGTAATAAAGAAAAAGTTGATTAATCTACCATTTCTTTAGGGATCAATATTAGTTCTAATTTTGAGGTTATTAAGTTCACACAAGGGTTTTCACAGAAACATAAACTGACCATGAACTGTCATAATCATCAAGGATTGTGGATTGATTGAAGGCCTTTGTAATAGCTATTGTAATATGTAATTTAGTATTGTAACATGTTGGAGTTAAAGAAAGAATGAGGAAGATGGTCCTTAACAAACTATAATGCCAGCCTGAGCTAAAAGTGTTAGATAGTTACAAAAGTTTTTTTTTTCCTTTATTTCTACAGGATGTTGGGATTTTACAAGGGGATATTGCCCCCGATCCTAGCAGAGACTCCGAAAAGAGCTGTAAAGGTAAAACCTGCTTTTTTTACATAGTTTGAGAATGATGTCACAGGTGAGCACACTATTCTTCAGTGATGTATTTCAAAGCAAGTTGTTCCATTTACATTTTATGTATAATTTCAAACCAACAAGAAAACGTTTAAAGTAAAGGTGTTCCTTGGACCACTAGCAACCCCAGCTGACTGCTGACAGCTGACTCTAGATCATTCTGTCCCAGAGTTAATTTTGCTAACATCCTTTTCACAAACAAAATGACTATTTTCTACCTACCTAATTAAAACCAAACACTTGAAATAATGGATAACAATACCCAAAAAATTACACCACTACTTCTGGGCATTATCTTTAATATGAGGAGAAAATTGGCAAGTTGAGTGCCAATTATTTTAAAACAATTCTATAACTTTTTAGCACCCACTCTGAGGGACTTCTGACTGGTTTATCTGGTCGGGCTAGTGCTAAATTCTCATCAAAAGACATAACAGTTTCTTGAGGTTTAGTGCTTTTTGAGAAATCGAAGAGAGTAGAAGTGGCTAAGATTTTCTCAGGCCTGGTTAAAGTTTTTGTATATTCAAGTTTTTTTGTTTAGGTTCTGAGAGCACGGAGCACATGCATTTTCCCATATAGTATGATTGAAAGATGTACAGTATTTCACTCAGAGCTTGGAACATTGTTGAATATTCTCTTTGAGTGAGGAAAAGATTTCCAGGCCTGATATCTCTGCTATGTTTAATCTGTGTTTGAATTTAAAACATGAAAATAACTTTAATAAATAAATATCAAATGTGCTACTGCTCTACATAAAAAAGGAGCTCATTAATCTAAATACATTTCCTGGTGTTAATTTCTTGTTCAGGCATTTTAGAAGTAATATTTAGAGCCCAACACTATTAAACCAACCTGTTATACTTTGCTGTGCATTTATATTTATTGTGAAATTCTTTTTCTTACAAAACACTTTGCAGTGGTTGCTTTTAAAAGAGCTATTCAAATATTCTTATAAAAAGAAGATACTTGAATTGCTCCTTTATATTACATTGGGTGTAAAAAAAGTAGTGTAATAAGATTAGACCTTTATATATACTTTTCATTTTTCATTATATACTTGTTATATATGCGCGGAGTGAACAGAACCCCTATAGTTTCAACAACTGCTGAACATACACTATTCACCACAGTTGGATTCTAAATACAAATATCATTTGCTTCCCTAGGAGTGATTTTTTTTTGTCAGGGGGTATTATGTTTCTTCAAGAAGCAGGTTTCCAAGAATTTGTCCAGATTCCCATTTCTCCCAGGTCAGGATTTGGCAAACCCCACTCTTGATAGATGATGGCCACTTTTATCCTGGGGACTCACCCGGCAGTGCTAAGAGAAGCCTGTTTGCAGAAGGAGTTGGCAAGAATAGGATACTGAGTACACTTCCTGTAACTGACAGATCACACATTCTGGTTTCCTTTTCCAGTTCTTCACCTTTGAACAGTATAAGAAGTTATTGAGTTTCACCCCATTGTCCTCTGGATTGGTAAGTAATAAATACTCTTGGTGCCCTGTCTTTTCTTTACTTGACAAACAAGACGTTTTGTGTGTGTGTGTCCAGTAGCGAGTTTCAGATGCAGCAACTGGGGGTTTCAGGAGGCACAAAGTAGAATGTATTTAACTGCTAAGGTCTTGACCCAGATTTGGTTGTTCTTTTTTTTACTTTTTAAAAGAATGGACACAAGGGCACTAAACATTATGCTATCTTGAACAAAAAAAACAATTGTACAGCTGCTGGGATTTAAAACTAAGAGCTTAAAACTTCTTTTTTCGCATTCTAAAAATTGCAGTTTTCTCATTTTCTCATAATAACAAATCAAGCTCCATATATAATGAAACACTGAGGCTTTAATTTCTCTTTTCTCCAAAGAACCATTGTTGGATTGGCATTTCGACCTTGATGTTTATTTAATTCACCACATTAAAGAAAATATTTGTTTAGATTTTGCATGCCACAGTATGATTTCAGTTTCTAAAACTCGAAGGCAAAAGTTGCACCATATGACTTGGGAAGCAAAGGCAACTGGGGACGTGTCTTAATTTCCAATAAAAGATGAACTGTATTACTTCAGTTTACATGACACAATAATTTAACGTAACTATGGATCTCCCAAATATTTACAGTATGTTGATACTCCCAAGTAAGAAATGCTGTTCCAGCTGCAATGCTTTCCTTTCATATCCATCTTCTTCTCCATAAAAGATTCATGGAGATTCATGTTTGTACCCCCTGTGGAGTATTCAGCATGAAATACTACTCTTATGCAACATTATTAATGTTCAGTAGAAAAAATGTTTAATTAGCACATAACCTGACATGTTTGTATTGTGTGCAATGTTTGTAGACTGGCAGAGCAAGGATGATTTATAACAACACAAGAAGTTAATAATCGCTCTATAAATACTGTGCTGCATATTTCAGAGGGAACTCAGTAGGTATGACATTAAGAACAAAGCAATGTAAACAGTTATGTGCCTCATAATAAAGTTTGCCATTTAGTATAACAGTGTGCTCTGAATGAGTATGACTGACCTACCACAATCTCATTATATTAACTGCCCTCATCAGTACAGAAAGTATTCATCTTCTACGAAACATACTAAGAGAAGGTCTCTTATCAAAGTCCTGATTATAAGCATTTTCTCTCCTTTTTAAACAGTCCCATTTGATACATGTTTTTTTCTCCCCAAGACGATTCAGCATCCTTCCACAGTGCACTGCAGTCCAGGACAGTCTTCCCTTTGTTATGTGGATGAGGAAAAAGATCTAAATAGTTTGCATTTGACACAACCTCCCTGAAATTTTTAAAATGCCCCTAGTTTTACAGCCACCTCCGAACTAAGAGGGTATGGTACGTTTTAAACCACAAAAAACTAGAGAGAAGCTTAAATCTGCTGTTGATATTTTAAATATAACAGATAAGAGAGGATCAGTGAGATGGTAAGTGCCTTCAAATATTTACTAAAGATCTAGTGAGAACTATAGTTCTCAGTTTTCCACAAGTTAGTAATGACAGGCCCAGCCCAACCTCTCAGAGATCCCTTCCACCTGTGTCCCCACAGTGTGCTCTTAAGTTACAGTGCTCCAAAAAAACAAAGGCACAGAGAAAATGGATTAGAAATAATTACCATAGGAGAACTACGTATATGCTTTTCAGCTGTATCCTGCTTTGTAGGACATTCAACAGATCCACTTTAACTCAACCTCTTACATTATCATGTCTTCTCTCATTCTACTCAATACCTTTTCTGTTCTGACTGTGATATAGCCCATTCGATGCACTTGAAAAAGACCTGAAAAAAGCTTCCTAACATCCCATTCCCAAAGCAAATTATGTGCGAAAACAAAATAGAGATAATATTTTCCAGGTTTGCTCTGTGTGTGGCACAGCCATGTGGTGTTCTGAAACATTGTTCAATTACGATGAATCTTCAGCTGACTGTGACATTACCTGTGACATTATTAATTATAGATTTAACTATATATATATTATTAATTTTCAATTGGTCTGCAATCTGTCATCTCTTCAGTTTGATACTCAACATGCTGCCCAAAAGTGTAATTTTTTCATTTCCCAAAGGGCTCACCACCCATATGGTGTGATGCGGGCTTTCACAGCTCATGTTTGGGATGGTATTGGTTTATTAAGAGTATTCTGAATGTTACAAATAAAACAATGACAAATATGGTGCATTGCAAATATTTGCCAAGCAGATCTGGTGAGATGGCCTGTTTTAAGTTTCCAGTGTAACCTAATCTGTCTTGTTGATTTAAGGCCTATCTAGTTGATTTAAACAAATTCACTCCTGCTTGGAAAAAGTATTCTCTTCCTTGGCAAATGCCAGCAGCATTTACTTTTATTAATGGTTTCTAAGGAAACTGGCTTTCATGTTCCAACTTCTTCATTCCAGTTGTTCCTGCTTCTTCTTCTCTTACTTCTTCTTTTAGCCTTGCTTCCCTTTTTCGTCTTCTTCCTGATGAGAACAAGAATAATCCCTGTTCTTTATCAAAGATCACAAAGCAGAATAGCCTTCTGTTTGTAAATGAGGATGACTGTTAAAACACAGTTTCTTGGGAACTTGATTAAACTGTGATATTGTTCCCTGTGAGGTTTTTTCCTGGTCTCAGTTCAGTAAACCTACAAATCCTCATTGTAAAGAAAAACAAACTGTTTTCCGGGAGAATCGGTTGCTGTTTATTACTAACAGCAGTGCCAGAATTATCTTCTGAACAACAGCGCCTGCTTCACATATGCTCACGCTTCCATTATTTGAATTAATGGTCCAATTACGACATTGAGCTAGCTTAGCTGGATGAGGTGGCAGGTGGAAAACCCTGACCTGGTACTGTCAGAATTACAGTCAGTAATCAGTTTCTTACTCATTCACCATCAGCTCTTGCAGAGAGGAGAAATATCGGGCAAGATGTCTCTTTCCATACAGCTCCAGTTTTTCTCAGTGTACTCACTCCACTGTCCACACTGTGTGAAAGACGTCTGTGCTCTGTGTTCTGTTTCAGGCCCTGTCGGTGGCCGGACTGGGATCGGGCCTGACTGAGGCCATAGTGGTCAATCCCTTTGAGGTGGTCAAAGTGAGCCTGCAGGCCAACCGGGATGCATTTACAGTGGTAATTATCCAGATCTGTTGTGTGAGCGTACGGTTTTACCCCTGTACAAGGCTCTTATAGTGTCTGGCAGCACGGGTTCCTGTGAATTGTAACACATCAGGCTTCAACTGGATTTCTGTAACATGTTTAGACTATTCCAAAATCCTGTGTTTTTAACATTGAGAATGCTTTCAGTCTAGAACCCCTAAGCAGTGGTTATTTGTACTAGTAAGATTATAATAATAAATTAGTAAGATTTATAATAATCATTCTGCAAATACTGTAACACACGTTATTCAGCAAAGATGATTACATTTTATGTTTAATGCTGTTATACTTTACTATTACATTAAATGAAATGAGTAAATTACTTTATACATCTATAAATAACAGGACTAAAACTTAAAACACTAAACTGCATCAGTGACTGTAGTGTGACTTATTATTAGTAGTAGTAGTAATATCTTAACCTTCACTGCTTTCTTCTACTTATGTTTGTGGTTTTTATGCTAAAGTATAAGTATATAAAATGTATATGCTTAAAAAAACATTTTACTTTTCATTTAAAGGCAATTATTACTTTACTTTTATATTTGAAGATGGTGGACCTAATATTATTAAATTATTATAATGTAGTAGTTCATTTCAGATCTCTGGCCAATCAGATAATCTGAATGTCGGTTGCTGTGAAACTGAACCTTTATCTGTTGAATACTGCCCTGTGGCAGTACTCGCTGTCCTGGGAGCCAGCGACGGTGCTGTCCATTTAATTCGGCATTCTCTTTGCAGCAACCATCCACCTTTGCTCAGGCTCGGTACATCATCAGCGCTAATGGGTTTGGGTTGAAAGGCCTCAACAAGGGGCTGACATCTACTCTGGGCCGCCACGGGGTCTTTAACATGATCTACTTTGGGTTCTACTTCAACGTCAAGGATATGATCCCTGCCAGCCAGGTAAAATGCACCCAGACTTCCTTTTTTTTCCCCTTTAGGTGTCCTGTTGTTCCCCATTTCTGAGTCTGTGCTGCGGTGCTGAACCAGGAGAATTATAGTTGCAGGGACACTGTGTTTACATATATTAATTTGTACTCTGCTAGAACATGTGAACAATTTCCTGGAACCAGTAAAAAGGATCCAGCTTTTATCCTTGAAGGAATTACCCTCCTGAAAATCATCAGAATAGCTCCTATTGAACACAAATGGGAACACCTTCACAGATAGCCTATTAATAACCCAGGTAGAGTGTCCATTCTGCAAGAGAGAGAGAGCTGAGCCACAGTACAGAACAGGCTGTAGTCTGAAAGCCTTGATGCGTTACCTGATCAGTTGAGAGGTTATGTGTTCCTAAAGTAGTACAGATCAGTCAAGTATCACAGGCTTCATATGTAATATTTCTTGTGTTAATGACTTGTATTTCCAATGTCAATGTCTAATGTGAGCTGTTCATTTTGTTCTGATGGGCAATTGAGCATGCTCTGTAATATAGAAAGGTTGAGTGGAGATACAGCAGGTTCCGTGTAGAAATTAGGTGATTGTTTAAAAAAAACACCACAAAGTGACTTTTCACTATGAAAATAAGAACATACACAACAATAAAAGTGCATACATGGATTTTCAAGTGTTTCAAGTGCATATTCAAGTTTTAAAGAACACATTTCTGAGGGTTGTAAAAAACTTTATTAATTATGTCAATATCTATTATTAGTATGTTTATGCACATATGAATATATATACATTGCCTTCAAACAAAGCTCCTTTATTGAAGTAAGTTGTCAGATCATAGAGACAATATAAATAGTACATTCCTATAGAAAAATAACCAACGTAAGTGTATAAAAGCACAAGGCTCAGTAATACCTTCCTGTGTGCTCTTTATATATATATCACCAAAGGCTCACATTACAGATTTGAAGGAGCCTGACTTCTAAACAGACGTTAATTTTGTTTAATGGAAAAGTTACCATCCGCTTTTCTATATGTATAAACCAGAGCATTAAATTGACTTAAATTAACTAATTGGAAACAGACTTCGATTTTGTTAAGGGGGATTACAGTTTAGGCATGGCTAAGACTGTTGCTTTTTTTCCTTTCTTTAACAAACTTGTCATCTACTAAGCAGACCCAAAACCTCATGTCCCCTCAAGCTAGCTTTCTTGAAAAACTTGGTAAAATTAAGCGCTCAAGCAAACATTTCACTAATACTACAAGCAATACTATTCTAAACTAATTGCCACTAATGCGACTAAAAAAATCTTGACAGAGGAAACAATAGTTTAGAGTATATTCGTTTAGAAATTTGGATCAAAAAGCAGCTTCTGTCTCTACTGAAATAATGAATTATATTCAATATGAAGGAATGCTTAAAGAGCATATTGAAAAGAATTAAAGAAACAAAATAATCAACCAGTAGAGAATCATGCCTGTAACCCCTCAACCTGGCAGATTGATTTTAGTACCACTGCCTCTCTCCTCTGACAGAAGAATGTACCATTCAGTGATGTGTTTATACAATCATGTCCATAACAAAGGTATGAATAATGCACGCTATAGTTAAGACCTGTCAAAAGCCGAGTGAAAATTATTTTTGGGAGGCTATAAAGTTCCAAAGACAACGTATACATATGCTTCTGTATAAATCCATACAGATTTCATTAAAATGTTAAGTTGCCTTTTGACCGTACTGCAGCTAAAGCTGACAAGATCGTTCAATTGCGTGTGGAGGCACGTAACAGTGACTCAAGTTGTCACTGACATTACAGTGGTGGCAGGAGCATAGTGTATCTGAGGTCGGGAGCTACAGTGCTGATAAAATCTCCTGACAATTTCAAGGTTGGCTGACCCCCATCTCCAGATATGAAAAGGTCTGTTTTGTAGCCGTTCCAGTGTTCCAGTCATTAAGAAGGCAAAGCTAGGAATTTCTTGCAGATCTGAACTAGAGCAGCAAGCGACCTATAATTTACAAAGAAGGGGGAGGGAGAGGTTGGGGGCAGGGTGTTGGGGAACTGCAAAAAACACAGCAGTCTGGGATTAGCTTTCCATTTATTTTACCATTTGGGGGTCTTGTACACAAACAGGCATTTCAGGAAGGCAGCAAGGTGGAAGCTCCTGTCATTTGTAAAATATTCTGGCCAATTAGCTAATAGAGTGCTTTGGATCTCAACTGTTTTGATACAGTAATACCCCTATACGATGTGGAGCCCAATTATACAAATTATCCCCATATGCCTCGCCAGTCTGCCTGTATGAACTGTGTTTATAAATCCTCCATGAGGAAATGTGAACTTCAGCAATTTAGACCATGTGTGAAAAGGAGGCCAATCAGATAGTCAAAGAGAGAAGGAAACACTAATATGCTTCGCTACCATAAAATGGCTGGGCTTTCATCCAGGCTTTTCCATTAATTCTCTCTCTTTTTACCGTGGCACTGGGTGGCGTGGAAGTGAAATGGCCATTTCCATTGAAACTGCACCATCAGAGAGAGCTTGCACAGCTGCACACGTCTTGTCCGGGTTTTTCCAACGGTGAAGAATTGCAGTGTGCAGTAGTCGGCTACACCACTTCTTTTGTAATAATTTCTGCTTTGAGTTAATTACTCGCAGCCAGGAGTGTAGTCTAAAAGGGCAAACAACCCTCTAATTTATTGACCTCCCGACAACTGTATGCATTGATTCCTGTTCTTTCAGTAATTTCAGTATAATTACTTCTCCTAATCAGAAATTTGCTCTTCTGAGAAGAGAACCCATTGTCTGTGGTACTCACACCTTATCAATTTTGTGGCTTAAGTTTTGTTTGTTGAAAACAGGTTAGAATCCTTTAGTTTATTTTTGCTGATAATTTGCAAAGTTTTCATTCAGAAGTCACCCAGGGTATTTAATTCATTTAAACATCTTCCCTCTTTTGGATTAAGGAAACTAAAGTGTATAATGTTTCAAAAGGCTCTGATTTTTCTTCGTAGAAACCAGTTCCTGACAATATGTGATTCTCCTTTCTTTTTCTCAAGTGCCCAAAAAACCCACTGAAAGTTGAAATTTCATTGCTTCAACTGAGCAGTTTTCCCTTGTCGGCCCAAGACAATCACTAAAGAAAATGAGCTCAATTCAACCACATCACACCAACCTCTCCTCCACCTTACAGGATCCAACCTGGGAATTTTTGCGGAAGTTTGCAATTGGACTGGCTTCTGGAACCATCTCTTCGTGTGTCAACATTCCCTTCGACGTGGCCAAGAGTCGCATCCAGGGTCCCCAGCCTGTCCCTGGCGAGATCAAATACCGGAGCTGTTTTCAAACCATGGCCCTTGTCTACAGAGAGGAGGGGTGAGTCCTGTATTCCGAGATCAGGTTGAAATTTGTCACTGTCCTTGTCTCGGAGCTGAGACTGGATCTAGACATCGGGCCATCTAGGCACATAAAAAGTCCTATCCCTTCTGGAATGTGACTGGCTTACTCCCTTCCCTGGGCCAGGTTCAGACTTACTACCTATTGCTCAGATCTTGTCATGTTGGGCTAAACACATGTGTTATCCCCACACCCATAACCAATTCACAGTGCACTGATTCTTTTTAACAACCTAACCACTGTCCTTCTCACTATAGCAGCCATATCACCCTGGAACTCACAACTGGCAGCCCACTGAAGCTAAGCAGGTGTGAGCCTGGTCAGTACCTGGACGGGAGACCTCCTGGGAAAAACTAAGGTTGCTGCTGGAAGAGGTGTTAGTGGGGCCAGCAGGGGGCGCTCACCCTGCGGTCCATGTGGGTCCTAATGCCCCAGTATAGTGACGGGGACACTATACTGTAAACAGGGGCAGTCCTTCGGATGAGACGTAAAACCGAGGTCCTGACTCTCTGTGGTCATTAAAAATCCCAGGGCGTTTCTCGAAAAGAGTAGGGGTGTAACCTTGGTGTCCTGGCCAAATTTCCCATTGGCCCTTACCAATCATGGCCTTCTTATAATCCCCATCTATGAATTGGCTTCATTACTCTCCTCCCCACTGATAGCTGATGCGTTCTGGCGCACTATGGCTGCTGTCGCATCATCCAGGTGGATGCTGAACACTGGTGGTGGAGGGGAGTCCCCATTACCTGTAAAGCGCTTTGAGTGGAGTGTCCAGAAAAGCGCTATATAAGTGTAAGCAATTATTATTATTATTATAGCTTTGCCATATACGTCTGTTATTCTGCACAAATTACATAAAGCAGCTGGCCTAAAGCTTTCAATATGCATCAGATATGCATAATGACAATTGAGAATAAAATATGATTTCCAAACCCCCCTTATAGATTAGTGGTTGTTTAATGTATGCAAAAATTAATACGGTGCATTTTTGTGATATATGATAATAGCTTAAAGTTCATAGGACACTCATAGAAGGCATTTGCTGTAACAATGCTTAAGAAACCACAGAAATTAATCAGAAATGACCCTAATGGATTAATGGAAGGTTCTTGAAATGCAGGACCAATGTTGCACTGTGCCTCCAAGAGCACATGTGAGCCTTATCAGGTCCATACATTTTTTCAGAGGTTCATCTAGAGAGTCTGCATGGAAACGAAATACCACGATGCTGTTTAAATATCTGGACTGAATTACATTCATAGCCCCAAGAGGCAAAGCTCTGTGATCTGATAACCATGTTTATAATCATCTGAAACGTAATTGAATATTTTGTGGCATATTGAATTTATTTTATTGCAAGCCCGGAAGGCAGGCATCATGAGGAGAGCATTTTCATGTAGACTGATTAAACAGTAGACATGGTTCCTTTTGCATTAATAATATGCATTTAATGTTTTTCACTCAATTTAAAGCAGGGTTCTTTCGGTCACACAATGTGGTTTCTCCAAAAGAGAATTTAGACCTAGATTTAGACCCTTTTTCTTCTGAGACACAAGTGTACATTTGTGTTTTCCAACTCATTCATACTGCTTTCAATGTGTAATTTTTGAAAGTAAAGCTTTTTCCTTAGTCTTGGTATACTGACAACAAAGTGACTGAAACACATTGGGTGAGGGGCAACATGGTGGCGTAGTGCTTAGCATTGGGATCTGTACTAGACTTGAGGTGCTCTCTGCGTGGAGTTTGTGTGTTCTCTCCATGTTTGCATGGGTTTCCTCTGGGTGCTCCAGTTTCTTCCCACAGTCCAAAACATACTGATAGGTTATCTGGCTTCTGGGAAAATTGGCCCTGGTTTGAGTTTGAGAGTGTTTATGTCTGTGTGTGCCCTGTGGTGGACTGGTGTTCCATCCAGGATGTATCCTGCCTTGAGCCCATTGTTTGCCAGGATAAGCTCTGGCTTCCCCTCAACCCTGCATTGGATAAAGCCTTAAGAAAATGGATTGGGTGAGTCAGTGTCTTTAACTGCTGTGCTGATTGTTCAAATGACTGGTGTAGGGCAGCAAAGATCAGGCTTCTGCCAAAATTTAGCTAAATACTCTCACTAACTATAAATATTGGCTAAAAAGTCCTTTCAGATCTAATAAACTGATCTTAAACCTGCTGGTATCCTTCTGACCAAAATCCAAAATAATATTATGTTTTCCTACCTCCACCTCAATTCAGTAATATTTCCCATTCTGTTTCAGACATTGTTAAGTAAATTCCTGGCCCTCAGGCCATTTTGTTGCTGTCTGTGTTTTACCACCCACTATTTCTTTTATAATTGATAGGTGTCTGCTTTGTTGATTTTGGAAAACAAACAAGATCATAAAACTCTCCAACTGTAAAGCCCCATGCATCATGGCAAGCTTGCAATCTGGTGAGCTGGTATTCATCTCCAGTGAAGCCTTCACTGGTGAGGTGTTCTTGGCACAGTCAGTAATAACTGAAAACACATTAAGCCTTTGACACGTGTGTATCTGTGACAATATCACCCTGGAAAACAATGTAACTGGCATCATCAGCCACATTGACTGTTTTAAAAAATGGGAATTGCCAGTTCTGTCTCTTGTTGTGGTATTTCCAATGGCTGTCGAACCCAGTTCCTCACTGACCTCTAAACAGACCAAGGAGAACTAGAAACACACTCATCTTATAAGTTGGGAAGATTTCAACTTTACTGGCAAACGGGGTTCCTGTTTTCAAAGATTTACTCTTAATTAAGACCCCTGATTTGTGGTCAGAATACAGTGTATATTATTATAAATGATGCTGATTAGTTATCAAATTATTGTAGATCCACCATAAGAATTATCAAAACAGATCCCCTGAGGGAGAATGTCAGTTTTCAGCTAGATTCAGTGTGCAAAGCACACTTTGAACGTCCTCAGTGATCCTTGGATCCCCAGTTAAAAAGAACTTGCTCCTCAACTAAGCTCTAAAAAGGTGTGTCTCTCCTACAGGAGACACGAGAGAAAGCAGTTCAAACTGTTGGGTGGCAGCTGAGTTCCTCAGCTGACTCAATTTCAGTGATGAGAGGCTATTTGTAAAACTACTGCCTGATACTGTAAGTGCAGATCTTAGCTCAGCACAGTGACAGATGTTACTGCCCAGATCTGCTTTGCAAGAATATGGCTGATTTAGCATGTGCGATTGGACTTCAGATTAATTCATCCATGTCTGTCAGGCACCTCCTAGCACAGGCATATTGTCCTGTGCCCTCAAAATCAGCAGGCAACCCCACTATGCCAAAAGGCCAGCCCCCACAATTCCCACTCCCACCACCATGACATCACCACAAGGGTCTCCTTACACTATGAGACCCATTACACTGAAAGAGTTGAAAGCTGGTCATAGTCTATGAATTTATCTGCTGCATAATGGATAGAGGCTGAACTGCTAATTTTGTGATGATGTGGGGCACAAACCAAGGCCGGGGGTTGTACTGTAGTGTGCGTGGACATGTAAATCAGTTTCTTTTTTTGTTCAAGCTGAAAAACCTTGCTTTCTGCAGCTCAAATATTGAAAAATGTACATACATGTCGATGTAGTTCAAGTAGGTAGCTGCGTCAGCATGCATAGGTTACAAAGGAAAAAGAAAAGGTTTTATCCATGCTGAACAGAGAAGAAAGGAAACACAACATTTCAGCTGTGGAGCCTTCTTCTCTTTTCAGCATGGAATAAACCTTTACTTGTTCCTTTTACATGTAAATGTGTCTGTCTCAAAATAACAATTTTCTTAGTAGCCGATATCTTAAACATACTCAGTGAATGAGTGACTTTCCAGAACATGGTTTGAGAATGCCATGTAATAGGGTGCTTTTGGGAATGTTACTGATGTACTTATAAATTTGCCTGTTTTGTGCCAGTGAGTTCTCCTGCTCAAAGATGATTCTCACTTTGCTGCCACTTACCACATGCAATGTGTTGACAAGCTATACTGCACACAAATCATCTATTTTGCCAGACTGGGCAGATTCAGATACCCTGGACTCTACAGTCACACTTGGCTATAGTATTTAATATACTGTACATATTTCTTTCCTGGCAAGATGCACAACCATGTTAACATTGTGTTCAGCAGTTTGGCCCCAACACTAGTCTAGGAGGGAGAATAGGCATGATTTGAATCAGCTGCTTTGTTGGTTTAAGTCGCTTAGCTGGGGGAACAGCACCCTGACCACAGGGACCAGGCAATCAGAACCCCTCCTTGTTTCGAGGAATGAACCAGGGAGCTGCTGCAAGGGTGAGGTTAGGGTGGAAGAAGGGTTGAGAATGATGACCACAAAGGGGTGGGCTCTGTAGATATTTCCCAAGAGGAAGTGGGAAGGATATTAAGGTTTTGACCAATTGGCTTAATTAACCCTTTTTACTCTTTGTTTAGTGTTCATACAATACATCAGTTTTCAATTCTATATAGTAAACTGTAGATTTTACCCCTCATCCCATTTGTTTTATATACATGTTTGTTTTAGATTCTTTTTGAAAATTCAATAAAACTGTGGTTACGAAATTACCATTACATGTGCTGTGCCTGGCAGAAGTGATGCTAAGAAAATATCCTGAATTGTGGTTCAGCACATAGTATTTTGCAAAAGTGACATGGGATATAAATAAAAGTGAGAAAATATACAATTTAAAAAATTGTAGTGCAGAGAATAATTCTTTCCTGCACAACTCAACTTTCCTATAAGGTTTCTGATGTGTTTAAAGACATAATGTTTAACTGCATAAGCAAATATTGTTCTTCCTATTCTCATTTGTGGAAAAGCAACTTTGGCTCATTCTATGCATGAGCTGTTTTCTGACATCAAATGCACTAGGCCTGGATTTGGTTTAGTGGTAACCATCTCCAAGCATCAAAAAGTCGAGCTTGTTTAATATAATGCAGTCCGAGCTAATTAGTGTGCCCTATAGGAGCTCAGCATTTTGCAAGTCATAATGAGCTGCACAGTTCAATTTCAGTTTTTTTTAATAAGCCGGACGGTAGCCTTATTAAAGGGCCCTCACGATCAGAAGGGAAATTGTGTAGCAGCCGGAGATGGAAGCTTTGAGCCTGAGCTTTGCTTTTCAATATGGCTTGAAATGATATCAGCTTGAACACATTAGGAAACTACATGGTTGTCAAATAACTGCATACCTGCTCTTTTGTTGAGCAAATTTAACCATTAATTTCCAAACAAAAGATAAAAACAAAAGCTGAGGAAATACTGGAAGAAATGAAGAATGGGAAAAAATCAGACATACTATTGGTGTTTTTTATATCAGTGATGCATTGCAAGACATTGTCATTCATAGCTACCTGTTCATATATAGTGCTAGTATATACAAATGTCCTGAATTGTCTGCAGCTGATTTCTCATGTCTTTTCTTGAATTAAGCTATTTTGAGGGTTGTTAGTCATGGCAAAAAAATGTTTTCAATCGCAATTTTTTAAAAACAAATGTTAACCTAATCTTAATTTTAAAATGCAAACATTATACTCTCTTTGTATAGCTGTAAAACTCTGAAGTCAACCTGAAGCTGCTTAAAGTTTTTATATTATCCTAATAGTATCAGAGCACCGTCTGTTTTTCAGATCTCCCTCCTCATTTTTATTCAAATGCAGACTTCACCAAAGAAACAGCCATCTAACAAAGCTTTATTTTTCTGTTGCAGGTATTTAGCTTTATACAAAGGCTTGATACCTAAAATAATGCGACTTGGACCAGGTAATACTTACTTTTAGTATAATGCTGTTCTTTAATGCTGTGTTGTCTAGAGACAGCATCTCCAGGGCTAGTTCTTTTTTACGTTTTTTATACCAGACTGTTGGAATGCTCGTGTCTTTAAGACTGCTAGATGTCTATATGCATAGGCATTTTCTCTGGATAGATTATTCCTTTAAAAAAGTGTCCCTCATTGAGCCACTGTCTGTCCTGACTGTGAAATCTGTTTGCTCAATCATATGTATTTATCTTGGAAGTGTGTAGTCTCTGCTTGGCGGGGAATAGTGCCACAGGACCCTGTTGGGCATACCTGTAGGACAAACTATGAAGGTACTTTTTCATTTGCTCTGCAAATGCACATTTATGTGTCTCTGACCATCCTCATTATTCAGTGCACTGAGCATGTACAGTGTGTGGCTTTTATGATTAAATAGAAAAATTCAGTGTGGCTTCATAATACAACATTAATGTATATTTTGGAGCATCCAGCTTTAATTCCAGACTCCTAGAGGTGTAAGACTATCCTTTAATCCTTTAAACCAAGTCTTTCATTTCTGAGTTGCTGTATGGCTCTTTGTAACCATTTGAGGATTAAATGGTTTGTACATACTCTAAAAGTGGAAGAAGATGCTCTTTCTAATACTGTGCTCCATGTATGGGCTGATGTTAAATAAGGGTCCTCAAGAAAGTCCCAGACATCACTTCTAATAAGGGAGCAATGGTGCCCATCAGGATTGAAAGTGCAAATTATCACACAATAGATGTTTTTCCATTTCTCTAAAAATTCTGCCACGCAATTTTGCTTTCTTGTTGGAGTAAACTACCTCCAGACTTGATCGCCAGACTCTACATCACAAGTTTCATTCAATGCCCATTTTGCCACATGGAGAACCCCAGACAATGGATTATAGATTTAAGAGTACCTTCTGACAAAACTTTCCACTAGGCTGCAAAGTTATTTAAAGGATTTCTTATACTGTTGACAAATCACAGTAGCATTAAAGCATTTCATTAGTTTAGGTGTACTTTAACAACCTTCTCTTTTTTGTCCAGGGGGAGCAGTGATGCTACTAGTGTATGAATATACATATGGGTGGCTACAGAAGAATTGGTGAAGGACTCTCCTCCCGTTTGGAAGAATCTGAGACCATCCGACCAGTGATTTCTTTTAACTTAAGAAGATACCAAATTTTGTACAGCATGTTTTTTTTCTGGCCCTCACACATTCTCACATTGTCTTTCGTTATCGAAGTAACATGCGCATAATCTGGAAACACATTATTTTTAAACAAAGAAATGTCATGCCAGATTTCATGATGTCTTCAATCTGATCTCTGCATTTGAAAAAACTTTCTGCAATAAATCCTGATGCATCTTGGGTGAAAGTGGATAACCCTCTTGCATAATAAGAGTTATGTTAAAGGTTTTATACAGAATTGGACCATTTTCTTTGCACAGTCACGGCAGAATTCCTGTTTTATTGCTATTCTCAATGTACAACACCATATCGAACACAAGCATTTGAATTAATTTAATATAATTTTAATTAATAAATATAATCAAATTTCTGAGTTGACGCAGGTTTTTAAATTGATTAATTTTGATTAATATAGTATAATATAATTAAAAGAATGTTAATTATATTGGTTTCTCTGAACATAGTTACTTTCTACTAGTAAAAATGTAATTCTCTCCAAATTCTAAGCAGCACCTGAAATACGTACATTTTCACAATAATACCCAGAACTGCCCGAGTTTTCTCATTTCAAATAAACTCCTATTTTCCCAGAACACTTTTGGCCATCATCATGCTAATAAAACGACTTCCTCATCAATGTCTGGTCTGTTATAAAAGGAGAGACAATTGCTGATAGATGTAATGATACGAGTGTAACTACAACAGGAGTACAAAATGCAAGAATCCTCCACTATTTATATACGCTATTCACAAAAAGGTAGGGAGTTTTGGGTCTTGGTAAAAAAAAAATCTTTCCAAAAGGATGAGAAAAAGACCTCATTAGATAACAGACTTTGCTGTTGACAGATCAAGCCATGGTTAGTTATAATAACCTATTTGGTGATCACAAATCTCTCATTGCCATTATCAAGGCTCCAGTTCAGTATCATGATGAAGGTCAGTTCACCTTGCACTGAAATGACAGCAAGCACCTCTGCTGACTGATTGGGTTTAGGGTTCAATTGGCTTAATGTCTGATCTCAACCCTCAACCACATGATTGCCTGGAACTGGATGGGGTGACATTTTGTATGTGGAATTCCATTTACACGTGGAATCTTTTGAATAGGACCAGTGCTGGGATCCATGGGTCCAGTGAGGGGATAGTGGAGGCCTGAATGCAGTCAAAGCTTTGTTTCATGGGGGTTCCACTGTAGCTGTTGACTCTATTTGAGGGTTGAGACCTGTAGGAGAAACCACTTATGGGGATGGGTAAGTGGGGTTCATGTGGGGCAAAGAATCGTTATTTTTATTTTTGGAATGTAAATATTTCTCCACAAAAAAAACAGATTTGTAGGCTATTGAACAATATACACCATCAATGCCAGTCTGTTATTGACATTTGTAAGGGTATTTTCTGATACTGACATTCTGGAATTTTATGATTATGGGGGTATATGATTTTAGACCCTATTTTTACTTTAAAATTCCACAATTGTCATCTTCTGTGTTTTGTTGGCAGTAATAAGGTAATGATCTTTTACATTTATGTGATTGGCTCTTATGAGAGATTTTTGAAAATGCAGTGAATGAGTTAAAATCCTGAACATTTTGTGAGTAGTATATTTACAAATTCCTGAATTACTCATGCTGTACAAACTAAAACTAAAAGGTTCAGTTGTACTGTTAGAAATGTATTAAAAGTTCTAAATGTCTTTTTAAGGAAGACTGAAAACACTTTATTGCTAAAAAAAATAATAGAAGCTTGATATATGAATGTGTATTTATGCATACTCCTTCTCCTGTCTATACAGTTTTAGAATTAAGGTTTGTAAGAGGGGACAAAGTGGATATATAATGCAAAGTGCACATTAGAATAATATTGTCTATCCATCTACCCATTTTGTAACAACTGTTACCAATTCAGGATCACAGTGGAGCCAGAGCCTGTCCTGGCAAGTAATGGGCACAAGGCAGGACACACCCTGAACAGGAGAACAATCCATCACAAGACAGACAGACACACACACACACTCACACCTAGAGCCAGTTAACCTACCAGTATGTCTTTAGACTGGTGGAGGAAAACAGAGCACCTAAAGGAAACGCACACAAACAGGGAGAACATACAAACTGCAAAAAATTACATGTTGGGGCATTATCTACGCCGGAGTGCAAAAACTGGAGGCACCCAAACTGCCAAAAAACGATATAATCTGATCCCCCATTAATGGGTCTCATTGGTCTTCCACATACTGCCACTGTGGTGACAAACCAATAATAATAAAATTATTGCTTATACTTATATAGCACTTTTCTGGACACTCCACTCAAAGAGCTTTACAGGTAACGGGGACCCTCCATCACCACCAATGTGCAGCATCCACCTGGATGATGCAACGGCAGCTATAGTGCGCCAGAACGCTCACCACACATCAGCTATCAGTGGAGAGGAGAGCAGAGTAATGAAGCCAGTTCATAGATGGGGATTATTAGGAGGCCATGATCGGTAAGGGCCAATGGGAAATTTGGCCAGGACGCCGGGGTTACACCCCTACTCTTTTCGAGAAATGTCCTGGGATTTTTAATGACCACAGAGTCAGGACCTCGGTTTTATGTATAATCCATAAGGACGGTGCCTGTTTACAGTATACTGGGGCATTAGGACCCACATGGACCACAGGGTGAGCGCCTGTGTTGTTGTTATGTTGTTGGTTTGGCAACATAAGTACTGGTAATTGTAATCGGCTGGGTAAATTAGTGAATATAACCGGCAAAATAATCTGGAATAATCAAATCAATTTAAGCATTCTTTACAAACAGAGGGTGACTAAAAAGCCAAAACCATCACAGAGTGTGTGTCTCACCCCCTCCTTTGTAAATTCACACTTCTCCCATCTGGAAGATGCCTCTGTGCCCCCAGGTGTAAAACCAACAGACTCAGAAAATCTTTCATTCCCACTGCAATCACACTCTTAAACAGTGCAGAGTAACTACCTTGTCTCTTGTTTCTTTTCTCCTGTAACACTTCTGTATTCTCTTCCCTTTTGATGATGTGTATTTGCCATTGTGTTGTGTTCGACTGTGCCGTAAAACAAATATCCCCTAGGGGACAATAAAGCTCGAATTGAAATTGAATTGAACCTGTTCTGAACTATTTACAGTACAGATGCTGGGGCCTGTACCACAAATATGAACACCTGATATGAACACCATCAAAGCCATATTGGGTTACATGAATGCTGAGAAAGTCAGAAGGCAACCAAACAATGTGGAAGAATTGCAGAAAGTGTTAAGAACATCATTCCACAGTCGTTCATTCATAAACTGTATGAGAATACGAGAACAAGATGTCAAGCTTACAAGCCAAATGTTGATGTTCATTTGTCCTTGTCATTCTTTTTGTAATAATTATTTGTGCTTATGTTAACACATAATTACTTAATGTAGCTTGAATTATATTCCCGCTTTGTCCTCTCTTTCCAGAATTATTTCCAGCACACTATGTCTCACAGTGAGTAACAATGTACTTATAGGAAAGGCCTGCCTATGGATAATGTCTATTCTTTTCAGTCTTTATTCCACAGTAATACTTCCAGTTCAACTCAGGAAACTTGTGTTGTTGAAAAAAATGTTGTTCTGATCACTTGATTTTTTGTCAATAGAACAATTATTCACTAGTTTTGTTCAAACGTAATGTTAATAACTTTTTTTTTATTTCAGTGAAGCCTGATTTGGCTCTCTAGTTTTGTTTTTCGTTAACAGATAATACTATCTTCAAACCATGTATCTCTCTATGATTTGCAATTTATCCCTTTTCCTTACTTTTCACATCTGATTTCAGTGATGCGCTTGGTAGCAATTTAATTTAGTCTGTCAAATAAAAGACATTGTCTCGTTTCGTTTTATTTAATGTCAAAGTCCGTTTGGTGATTGTCTTCAGGAGAAATGGATTGACTTTGACAGCCCTGTATTATGTGGAGACTATCTTTAGACTGTAGGGCGGAAGTATTGGAGCAATCTCCCATTAAAGCCTCCATAATTCGTATCATCTCCCTCTCACTGACCTCGGGAAGAGCAGCTCTCTGGGAAAACACATGTTATGTAGGGCTCAATGAGCAGCAGGCAGGTAAACTGGCCTGAGAACATGAATTTGTTATTTGAGATGTGCTGTGAGATCCTAATTATGCGAAAGATGGGCAGATGTATTAGAAGTTTGCGAAACTCCATTAGCTGAGAGAAGCACAGTCTAACCAACAGCCTCCACTTTCACCCTCTTCGCTTTCGCTAGGAAACTGCTGCAAGGGTGTAAGTCACGTGCGTGAGAAATGGGCAAAGGCATGACCTGAAGGCGAGAAGGCGGCTATATAATGTTATGGAACAAGTAATAGGTTTATTCTATGCTGGAGAAAAATAAGAAAGAAAACACAACGTTTCAGCCGTGGAAGAAGGCTCCACAGCCGAAACGTTGTTTTTTCTTTCTTATTTTTTTCAGCAAGGAATAAACCTATTAGTCGTTCCTTTGCAGCCTACGCATGCTGACGCAGCTACCCACCTGAACTATATAATTTTATGTTGGAGCGGAAGTAGGCGAGAGTAGAATATAACTTTCCTCCCGAATATCTGTTCGAAACTCATTTGAAGAGGAATTGAATAGAAATGCAAAAATAAACACTTCCGGGAATTTCAAATGTGAATGCACCATTGCCTGTTTACCTTTATGAAATATAAGGTGTATTTGGATTTATTTGTGTACAGAAGAAATTATCTTAAAATGGCTCCATCATTACCTGCTTTTGTTCGTTTTCTCTCAGACTGCAGATCTGCATTTGGGTAGAGACAAGAGTCTTTCTGCCAGCCGGGATATTTCAAGTTTCTCGTCTCAGTCTTTCAACTGAACTGTGTGTGTTTAACACCCTGTAAACTTAATGAGCGTGTGCATTTAAAAAATGCATGGACAATAGCTTCTATAAGCACTTCTTCGATTTCCCCCTGTAGATCACAGACCGTTCAAATGTAACTAAGTATTTATGTATGTTTGTGAAACTTGTTACTAAATATAAGCAATTAAGAAACGCGTCAATTAAGAAAAGAGAATTTCCTTATAAATACATAAGAAACAACTGGATAACAAACGTGTACAATGTAACTGGTTATTGAAAGGTAAAACCAAATCATCCTTAAAGATCGACGTTTCTTCAGTGAATCAGTTTATATCGTTATTTTAAAGGGTGTATAGCGTAAAGTGTTTTAGAGAAAAACGAAATCGAACTTTCGACACATTCGTGAGTTTTGTCTTTCTATGCGAGGTCACTCCGAAGAGAATGTACAACTTAAAAATCTATAGATTGTTTTGCTCATCTCCTTTCCTAGTTGTTTACTTGGGAACCACGAGGTGTTTTACCTGGTCATTGTTTCTTCGGAAAACTCTTTCCTCATGCCTTTCTTCGGAGAGGTATATTATTTAAAGTAATATTGTGCCAAATTCTCATCAGACAAATTCTCATTTCAACTCTGCATTTGTGTGTAAACCAAACATGACACAAGTCAAAAACGTATTTATGAGATGGTATTCGAAATGGAAGTACTACACTGGTAAATTCACGACTCTCGAAATCTCTCGAACTCTTAAATAAGTCGATGATGGCCTGTATAAAGTACTATTTTATTGTAAATATGATTTCTTATTAATGAAGTGGAATTCTGTTTGGGAAGGTTTGTGTGAAGGACAGTGCGCACTTAGAAATAAATATTACAATTGTCAATTGTATTGCGGTAAAATATACCATATAATGTAAGTCCCTAAGAAGGTTACAATTGATGAAGTCTCCATCTTGGATGTGCTTGATTCGGTCCAAATAGAAGAGGCATACAAGCGAGGGGTCTGGTGACAGATATGTGAGTAATATATCAGATAAAAATAATGCCTGCAACTGAAAAACACAGTCCCGGAATTTATAAGCTGTCTGTTTTTTGCATGATATTCCCTTACAGCAGCAAAAATAAATAATGTTATGCGGTGTATTTGTTTGGCACAGTTGTAAAATATTTGTCAAAATGTCTGTCAAACCTGCCATAACCTCATTTGTCTTTCAAAAGATATAAATCCCTCCTAGGAATTCTGAAATAGGGGTAACATTGTTTGCCTGCTATTATTGAGAAGTATCTCCTCCCTGTAGTGAGAGCTGAGTGCAGTATGATAGAGATTGCAGTCTACATTACTGTGACTGCAGTTTGTCCTTTTGTCATTGCTGCTTTTTAATGCTGTGTCTAAATATAACTTACCTAAACCATTTTCTTATTCCTGACTACAAGAAAATTAGATCATGTGTAAGATTCAGGGTGTTGAATAATATGACAATGATAATTGCATTTTTTCCTGTAGTAATTAATTGTCTGTTACTTGCGTTATACTGCAGTCAAAGTACTAGTCTATATACAGCAGGTACTATTTCCTGGACAATCTTGAACCTAATTACTTTTGCACTAATTATGGGAAATAATGTTGTCTACACAAGAATAAGTATTTTAAGGAGTTATTTCTCTGTTAATATACTTCATTTTAAACTGGTTGTTTTTTAAATCATAAACTGCTGTCAAGAAAGCTTTAGCCAAAATTACCTCCTTTTATCCTTTTTGTACTCAAAGTCATTCATGTATCAAATAGCTCAGCAAATGCTAAAATAACAATGCTAAGAAATACCAATACCCAAAAAGCTAAA